GAATAGCAAATCAATTTATATACAATTCATAAGACAGGTACATGGATTCAATTTTGATCTTTTCTTTCTTATTTCCTTTCTTTTCTAAACGAATACTATTATTTATAGTCACTTTATATAACTAACTTTGGTTAGTTCAGCGATTATACCCATCTAAGTAGAACTTTACAGCAACTCTTCAATCTTGGATGATAACCTGACATCGATCACAGGCCTTACAGTTTCTGTACATCCTGTTTGGCCAGATATGCAGTTCACTCAGGGTGAACTTTTCTTTGAATGCACCCTGTTCTTATATTCAGTACTAGCTTTGTTTCTGCAGTACTTAAATATATACAAGACGTTGTGGTGGCTGCCTAAGTCGTATTGGCACTATTCAATGGTTAGTGGACAAAAAGCTTGGCTCTCAAATGATAACTCTTTTCTTAGTTTTTTTGTTAACTCAGTCTGCTTATGTCTTTTCAGAAATTTCATTTGATAAACCCGTATTTCTTATCATGTGTGGGTTTGCTGCTCGGCTGGCGGGTTACAAAGTGCTTTTGGAAAACGGTAGTGTTATTTTGCTTTCTAAGTTTTCAATAATTCTTGTTCGTTGAGTATTTCTGTTCTCTCATTTTCCCCTCAATGAAGGTATAACAGTCAATCTACCTAAAAGATTTAGCGCAAAAATTTGCGTTTTGATTCAAAGTGCTTTGGAGTTTCAGATTACGGAGCTTGTTGCAACAATTGCTTTCGATAAGTCCACTTTTGTCCAGTCTACTCTTACTGTTATAGAATATGCTATTATAAAAACTCCCTTGATGACCCTCATAATCACGAGCTTCCTATTCAGGTAAGTCAGCTGTTCTCTCTAAGATCTTCCCTTCCTTGCATCTAGTCCAGTCGTAATGCTTTTTTTAGTTTCTCCAGAATTTGTCACGACTTTCCATTTAACTCGGTTATGTACTTCTTCCACCCGTAAGTATCTGCTATTGCATTAGTTAATATACTGAGCACCATTAATCAGGTTAATTCTGTACGTGGTGGTGTTCTACAGCGAATTAATGGGAAGATGGCGACGATTTAGGAAAGCGTACGCGGAGTGGTGGAATAATGACATTGATATTGCTCAAGTAATTCTTAACTTTGTATTCTGTGAAGAAAAACTAAGAAGAATTGAAAGTCTTTCACTTTGTCTGATTATCTGTAAGAAGTACCAGTTTGGTTCGTAATCATTCAAGTGTTCTAAATCTTTTATTGAAATCACTAGTGCAATCAAATTAATTAGATTAAATCAATCCTACAAATGTATCATGTTGAAATGTTCACTCCTAACTCAGGACTACCATTTCCTCTTAGTTGTCTTCAGAAGGAGACCTTGTTCTAACTAGGCAAATTCCAGCTAATTGATCGATCGATTGAGCCGCCACCAGCACAGTTAGATCTCGACTCAGTGCTTCACATGTGCAGTTCAAATCCAGGTGCTACTTGTAATTTCTTATTTCTTAGCTTACTTCGGATTCATTTGAATTGTTATTTTTTAAAATACTAATTAGGTTCACTTGTTCATAACCCAACGAGATTTTTGCGATTCTTTCATATATTTGCTCTTTCTGCAAAACGGAGCATATACCTCTCCCCATTCATTGCCAATGTTTTTCCCTGCATTTTTGAATCAGAGTGCTTCAGCATAGGAGTGAAAGAAAATCGAGTAATGTTTCAGTTCAAATTCGAGAAGAGGTTTCGTTGTTGCTTGAGGATATGTATCTCAGGTTAAAAAGGAGTCTTTTCGCAGGAGTTTCAACCGCGTTCCTGTCGATTTTCCTTCCCTGTGTTTTCGTCCCGGTAAATATCACCTTTTTGTCTTTTTAATAACCAGTCACAGGTAATTATACTGTTATGGGTCCAATTGTTTTTGAGTTTTCTTTGGGAACTAATGCGACTTTTTCATAAATTGGAAATTTTCCGAAATATTTCTCATGAATATTAATTTTAAGTAATAAAGTAAGTCAAAGTAGAGTTGTGATTTTTTCTATAAAAACGAGGTTTACAAAATAATGAATCTCGTCTACTTTTCCCACAGAAATTCGCTATTTCTAGTACAAAACATCTTTGGGTGTTCCTCAAAAAGTACTTGTGGATGAAGCTTGGGAATCTGAACTATGTATCGTTGTTGCCTTGACAGCGTTCTCTTTGTACATCACCTATCTGATGCCATTAAACTACCTGGACTTGCTGCATAGGTGAGCATAATTTCGATTCTCACTAAATTAAATCTAAGTAAGATTTAAAATTTGAATCATATTCCGATTAATGAAATACTGAGTCTCCAACAGCTGGAGGAGAGAAAGTGAAAATTCTTAAAATGATGTTGTGTGTAAAGAGATGGATCCATCATTTGGCAGAGGAACTTCTAGGCAAAGAGGTCACATTAGGGTATGTTATGTTATCGCAGTTTCTTTCATAAATGTGAATAGGAGGTGACGACAAGCGACGCTATTCTTCTCTTCTCTGTCTGGTACGCTCCACCAGAGAGAGCACGGCGCTTCGTTCCAGTGGATGATACGTTGCACTACGTGGGGCGCCCTACATGTGGGAATGCAGCGATGAAACCTTGATATGACTGCAGGGCCTTTCATAAGACCCAGTGTCCAATTTTTGGGAACCCTTGCTGGAGCAAGGGTATAAGGTATTTCTGGGACAAGCAGTGGAATAGGTAGGTCTCTGCTGTAATTTGGTGGGCGGTTAATCCCTTTTTGCTGTATTTTGAAACTGTGGGCAGTTACGTTGATTCTAGTTTCTCTAAAGTGGTAATAGTATTCCTTTATATGTGAGCCGGTTTTTGTTGTTTTTTGTTTTCTTAAGCTGTTCTATAAAAAAACTTATATTTCTAGGCTGTTTGCTCAAAACTGATCCTGTTTAAAATTGATTTGATCTGTTTTAGGAGTGCCATCCATCTTGGGACTTGGGATCAAATAGAAGGTCCGAAGATTGGTCAGACTGGACAAGCAAAGTGAGTGAAATTAGCGTGTAATCATAAATACCCACATGGCAGCGCGGGTGTGTTGCCATTCGTCTCTAACATTTTGACGTCCCTATCAGGTTGTGGTTGTATAGTTACCGTAGTTTTAGCAGTCATTACTTGTAGTTTTTGCCAAGTGTCCATTGTCGGGTCTAAATTTGGATTCATCAAAGTGTCTAATAGCAATCGAAAATAGAGGGTTTAAATATATGACTAGTTCTATGTCTTAGAATAGCACCATAAGAAGACACAAAAGATGGAGCGAAAGGTTTTTGCTAGAGTGCCTATTTAATATTGTTGCATGTGCAAGTTGGAGGGAACATATTTTATAGGATTTGTTTGATTTTGGTTGATGAAAGATATCATGAAGAATGAAATGAAGTACTGTTCCACTTACAGTGCCCCAAAATCTCAAATTTCGGATTTTGCTGGAATTTCGCCCAGAAAGGTAATTGCATGATGATCACTAATGTTATATCCCCATACCGATGCCTTTCTGTAGGATAAGGTAGGAATTTAAAATGACACAAGTCGTTGAAAGTGGGCATGGATAATTTGATATGCTGATCACGAAAATAGTACTCACTTTACACGATAAGGTAACAATATTAGAGCGCTTACAAAGCAAATCTTAATCCCTTATGAAATGCTGGCTATAATCATACAGAAATGCCCTTGGTGGAACGTTTATGGTTTCGTGATAAGGTACAACATTTTCCTATTATGTCATCTTTCACTGAATCCCGTGATTCTGATCATCTGCCGACCACCTAATATAATCCCAAAATCGTGCTGAGTGGATATCATATTCGCGATTTTCAAGTCAAATCACCCTGCTAAAGCACATTTATGACAGGGCAGTTATGTTAACCCCTTACCATCCACCCATTGTAATTTCAAAAATGCTTTAGCATGCGGTGTGAACATGCTTGTTAACAGCATGCCAAATTACTCCTCTGAGCTAATCAGGAAAGTTCGCAATTTTGGGACATTCTTAGGGCACTGTAAGTGGATTCCAATTCATTGGTCAGATACCACATCGATAGTTGCAAATTTAGTTGGGCTCCATCGCCTTGGGTGGCACAGTGTCTTTATTCGGAAGGAGAGACGGTGCAGATGCCAGATGGAAGATGTTATAAGGCTCGGGGATCATCGTCCCTAAAAACAGTAGCCGC